CCCCGCCTTTTAAATAGCCACTACCCGTTTCAAATGTGCTAGTTGACGGAGCTCTAGGCCAGGCAATAATGCAAAGGATAAAAGGAGGTTTATGGCAAGTAGGTGGTTGATCTGTCAGCTTTCTTCGACCAGTCCGTTGCCTCAGGCACGCTCATTCGTCCTGATTTCAAATAGGCCAGTTCGGGTTGGGCAGGATTGGGTGAGAACTTCGAAACTACGGCTGGTGTAGCACATACTGCTGTAGCACATACTACTGTAGCACATACTGCCACACACATACTACTGTAGCACATACTGCCACGCTGCTGTAGCACATACTACTGACTTATAAGCCGTCGACAGCCAGTCATACACAGACCCAAGTGGTGCATCACGCTAGCCTCGAGCTCATGACCTTTTTAACCAGACTCTAACACCCCCAATCATTAAGCCACAAGCTCGGCGTCTTGCCGGTTTATGTCAGGAGATATTGACACTCGTTGATGAACGTTCACCGACCGCTAGGGGTACACACTTGTCGCACTCTGCCTTGGGCCTCACTTTTCGGGCCCTGATAGCAGCTTTAGCAGCTAGTAGTATGGGCAGATAGTAACGGCGGCAATGGCAAGGGAGACTGAAATGTGATTAAATTCAAAGCCTTCGGTGTGCCTTCGGAGCTCAGTTGGTAGAGCATTGACTATGCTGAAGCCTCCCCCTTGCGGCCGTGGGTACGAATCCCACAAATAGATCAAATTAATTATAAGCCCCCATCAGCTAGCCATACCCGATCCCAAATTTTGCAGTAAGTAGCAGAATGCTTCAGCTGAAGCAAAATGCCCGCCTGGGAAGCTGAACCTGAACGCAGGCAACCTTAATGATTGTCAAAACATTGGACGCTGTCCTCTGGGGTAGTTGGCTTTCCTCTCATCACCTCAACCGATGGATAACAGAAATCATACAAGCTTCCATGAGCGATTTTTTATGCTCACGACTATAGTGCTAAGGTGAACGTTCATCAATGAGTGCCCATATCCCCTGACCTAAACCGCCTAGACAACGAGCTCGTGGCTCAATGGTTAGGGTGTTTGACTCTGATCAAAATGTTCGCGAGATCGAGGCTAGGGTGGGACACTACTTGGGGTTTTGTATGACTGGCTGACGACGGCTAATGAACCAGAAATGGCCATTCCAGTCCCTTCCCTTGTCTTTGCCGACAATAATATCTCGCCAATACAAGCGAACATGCGACAATACTATCTGCCTACTTCCAGGTATTACGGCTGCCAGGGCCTCTGTCGAGACCAAGGCAGAGTGGGACGGATGAGTTCCGTTAGTGGTCTGGTGAACATTCATCAACGAGTAAAAATAAATTTTATTGAAAAGTACAATGCTAGGACTGCGTTGTTACATATACCAGCTCATCTACTGATGGCCCTTTATGTCTCACTTCATATCCGTCTCTCCCTCCCCTACCCCTCTAACGGAACGTTGATCGCTTTAGTGGAGAGAGCGAGAATGGAGTGGGTATATGAGGGGCGGCCGTTTTCGGCGGACTGCGTTGAAAGTCCCATTTTGGCTATTTTCCTTTCTCTCTCTCTCTTTTCACTCTTTCGAAAAGATCTGGAGCGCAGGTAACGCGAGGGAGAGTAAGCGATGGATTAAAATGAGCCTGACACATGAAGTACAGTTTTGTCAATCGCCGAGGCCCGGCGGTACACATAGAGTCTTGCCGGTCAAGAGTAGCTGCGCATAAGCAATTATAGAGAGAAAGAGAGGTAGATGCCGGCGTGATCGATTTATTAATAAACTGTCGTTTCAGAATCTGTGATTGGCTGGCTGAGCTAGCGTGTCTGTTGCGAAGTCAGTCCTATCGTGCCAAACAGAAACATAAAACCAAACTGGGGAGGGGGCAGGGTGTACCTGGTCAAGTGGTTTACATTTTTAATGCTGCCTACCGGAAAACTGGACTCATATTTTTCCATCCCTGGTAAGAGTAGGGTAATCGGGTGTCGTGAAATAAAACCAACTGCACCATCGCGTACTCGACAGAAAAGGCGTTGCAAGACAGATGACCGCCCCCCCCCCAACTGTTGTCAACACAGAACGATATGTGGTATTATTTATTTAGGGGGTTTGTGGCAGATTTGCTTAATTTAGTTGACCCACTTGTGAAAAAAACTCGAGACGTCGGCGGGAATCGAACCCGCATAGCAGGGAAAGCCTTTACGCAGCCCACGCTCTACCACTTGAGCTACAACGCTACGCCTTGCGTCGTGAATTCGTTGATTAACGTTCACCGATCGATAATGGGTCTCATTCTCGAGTCCCGCGAGCAGTCGCGCACAACAGCTAGCAATCTAGGCAGATAAATTTGCCGGCAAAGAATAGGGAGAGACTTGAATGACCATTTTTGGCTCCTTAGCCGTTATCGACCAAACCCAAGTGGTGCCCCATCCGGGGCTTGAACCCGCGACCTTTTGATCAGAAGTCTTCTGCTTTGACCATTGAGCCCCGGGCCCGTTGTCTTGACGTATATGCCGTCATCAGTCAGTGATAATTAATCCCCGAGCCTCGAACTCGTGACCTGCTCGTTAGATATACCAATGCGAAGACCTCTTTGTGTTTGTGTGCATTCGTCTCAGTAGAAAACTGCACACAGTTAGGCAGCCTTGGACGCCCGTTTCTGCGCCGTTTTCTTCTATCTGTCAGCAGCAAACACTGATCGTTCTCATCACTGGGGCTTCAGTGAATCTTTTTCAGAAATAGATTTATATATTTGCTGTTGTATTAGGATTCAGCCGCTTACAGCTGTCATACACTCTGCCGCTTCAGTCTGGGAAGCGGACTAAGGAGGGGGGCGGAAACTGCGGCTGCGCAGAGAGTGCTGTTTTAATGAGGCAAAGGTGCCCTGGTAATTTTAAATTATAACTCCTATTCATGCAGCCACTCAGTTGCACATTTATTCTCCGTTCCGTTTGATTGGCGCTTCTATCCCCCTTCTGCTGACGCCAGTCAAATGAAGAAGCCTAAATGAGGCACGAGGTGGCAGCTAATTCAAAAAATTGAGGAATTTTTAATAAAAATTTCTATGCACACCAAATCAAAACGCCTTGTGCGCGAACTTTCGAGAAGTGCTATCATTGCAAAATTGGTCTTTTGTGTGATTGGACACCTTCTAACTGAATCGACGTTCACCCGAAAATGCTGAAGGATATCGCTGCAGAAAGGCGGGCATAGCTGTGCCAGGGCAATCCACGGAAAGGATGCAAAACCCAGAGAGGTTAAGGTAAATCGAAAATGTCCATCCAAATGCAAAGACAACATGCGCACTTAAAAACAATAATCCTTTGGGGGGGGGAAAAATTGTCATAAAAGGCAAATACGCGGTAAGGATAACTGTTATGCCCACCAAAAGCAGAACAAGATAGCTGGAACTAACCTCAATGCTGGTGAATTTGCACCGAATTCTAAGGCTAGTTTTATGGTAAGCATTATGCAAGAGGGTTAGGTTTAATATTTAATTTATGAGTAGCGTTAAGGTAGACAAGGGAAGGGTCCATTCTAGGTTTTTTATTTCCTGCTGGGTCAGGAGCTAGGATAGGGTTGGAATTAAAAGTAACCCTTCTATTTTGGTTGATCTCACCGGTATGATTTTATAATAATATTATTATAAATATAATATGTTCTTGGAAGTTTTGGGCAAAATAACCAACAAAAAGGAATCATTTACATGGCTCGATCGGTCACGCGTTTGCATTGTGATTCCTGACCTGAAAATCTAACACCTAAGTGAAATACCTGGAATTTAATTGGTAGATTTGAGTAGGCCCTGCTAACATTGGCAGTTTTACATGAGCCAAATGTTCTCTTCTAACGTTTCAGCATAGCACACAAGAGGAAAATAAAGAGACCCCAAGTCTAGAGAAAAGGAGAAAACGTAGAAAATGAAATCCTAGCACTACTTGCTAAAAGTAGGGGAAATTCTTCCTTTTCTGTCCTCTTCAGCCCCCACGTTTGACCTCACTGATCCGAAACTACCGATCCCAAATGCGCCCCACCGTCTTCACTTCTTCTAGGGTGGGACCGTTATCCTCTCCGACTGCTTGTGCACAGAAACGTTGGCCACTAGTTTAGCTATAGTTTTCCGTAGAGATGGCTTATATGTCATCCCCACCCCAAACGTCACAGGAGCGCAAGAACTGTCCAAACCTCCTTATCATTAAGTCAGCCCAGTAGTCATTCTGGTTGATTCTTGATGATTGCCTAGGAAATCCTGCTTGGGCAGTCAGGTTGTTGCTCCGCATTGGTGGATTCCATACGAGCGGTAAAGTTGGGCGGCTAATATCGACCCAAATGTGATTAAATTCATGGCGCGAGGTGGAGCGTTTGTAGCTTAGCGGTTAAAGCGTTGGCCTCCGGTAAAGGACTTCTCTACTACGCAGGTTCAAAGCCCGCCGAATGCCGCGAGTTTTTTTTTTGACAATTGGGTCAACTCAAAATAGGTGTTTTTGGACCAAATTCTACGGAGGTTTATGTTGTAGAGGTAGCCAAAGCCCAGATGTCACCGCCTAATTACGTCTTGTGTGAGTCCACAAGGAAGAACATGACAAAAAGAGGGCCAAAGCCGAAGTCTTTGAGCGTAATTGGTATAGCATATTAAGGGCAAAAAACGCGTGTAAAGCCATGTCCATCGGGCCAATCAGAAACTATCCTGTCTTGAGTAGCGACACAATGGACTGGTGACGCAACAGCTGGCCGCAGCTTTAAATAATTGATTGACTGACTGCCAGTCTGCGTTCGACGCGTGTAGGCCAATCGATAGCCCCTAGTGAGCGCGGCTCGCTGCCTGCATGCTTGCGCGTTAGGGCTTGGGTTAATGTTAGGGGTAAGGCTAGCGTCAAGTTAAATCAAGATCACATCCAGGGTTATACTTACGGTCAGAGTTAGTTGTAGGATTAGTATGAAAAGGAGGCTTGCCAGTGAGGTTTATTTAAAGGCTACTGTGAGAGCTAGGACACTGGAATACTAACTCTGCCGGGTAGTATGCGTGGGGCCACCTTTATTACCTGGGTGGGGCATTCCTATTGCGTGTCCTGTTTCGCGGCAGTCATATAAGGAATTCTTACCGGCTGACTAACTACCTTAAATCATGAAATCATGAGCGCATGGAATGTATAAAAGCAAGCTAATTTTGGACAATACAGCATCCATTTACTGGTCACTGAGCAGAGCAGATGAAACGTTCACCAACATACTGCACTGACTTATCACTTCGAAGATACTACGTAAGTAGAGTTGTTGTTATATTGATTAATACGAATGAATTTCTTACCGAAAGTCTGTAATAACTACGCTATCATAAATGACGACTAATGCATTTATTCTATGGATTTTTAGTCTCCTTAAGGTTAGGGGTAATACTAATGACCATGCAATGCAGTCCGATAATATGTCAGTCGCGCCAGTTTTTGAATAAATTTTGTTACTAAAAATGGCAACAATGGTTTATGTAGCCCCCATCATATACCTCTAGTCCCAGCACGTTGTCTTAACAAAACGGTGGTTATAGAGTTCTATGGGTGGGGAATAAGGATACGCAGTGGAATATACTTTAATAACTGCCGTATGTATTTTTATTTTATTGTATTTAAAAGTTTTGTTGATTTATATCTGTAGATTTTCCTAATCTGTATTATTTTTTAATGTATTGCGGAAAAACCCAATAATCAAATTGCAGGAAAGTGATTAGGAGGTCGTCTACTTCAACTTACCTGAGGTCCAAATTACTGTTCTGGAGTTAAATTAGTATAGTTTGCCTTCCATTTACATGCGTAACAACTTACTCCCAGCGGCCGAGGGAAAGAACTTCGATTACATTTTTTTCACTTGACACCTACTTCTAAAAATTGTCTTCTCTGCCTTTCCTACTTCCCCACCCGCCAAAACCCTATAACCATCGTTTTCGTAGCACGAAATGCTGGGATTAGGGGTATATAGGGGGGGGGGCTACATTAGCTACCTTTGCCCCACAAGTTTGTAACAACTACACTGTCAAAAATGACAAAGTAAACATTTCTCCTTTGGATTTTTGATCTCTCTAAGGTTAATGTTTAAGGGTACAGTCAGCGTTAAGCTCAGAGATACTGTTTTGGTCTACGCTAGGATCAGTGCTAGGGGTAGGACAGTGGACTCTTAACTGTGCGCCGAATCGGGCGAAGGGGCACCTTTATTACTTGGGCGGGGCTTCCTTATTCCTGTGTCTTGCTTAGGCTTCCCGCCTTTGCCAGCATAAAACAAGAGAAATCAGGGAGAAGGTAAAAGCAAGCTAACTTTTCTTGTTCTTATAGCATATTACGTCTTCTTCAAATTTTAACTTTTACAAAATGGTATCTTAAAGTTTTAAAGATGTTTCCATTTCCTGAAACAAAATTAGGGCATGCGAATATAAACCCATCGTAGAATTATGTGCATGGCCACATTTATTACTTGGGCCGGGACGTTCTTGTTCTCGTGTACTATTAAGGGGATAATGCAAGTGATTCTAACCATATTTCCGGGCTGGTAAAGTACCAGAAACGCTGGCGTATTAAAACGCCTTCTATGGAAATAAGGAAAGAAATTTCGTGCGTAAATGGGGGAAAAATTGTACTCATTTTGTTTATCCCCTCCTCCTCATCTGGCAACGAATCTACTGGGTAGAAGTAAACATCTAGTGCCAGAT